TATACATGATTTTTATAAAAAAAACACTAAGCAAAGATTTTATTCAGAAGTGTGTGAGTCAAGGTCACATTTTGTCTGATGAGTGAAACTGCCTCTGACAGTGACCATGGATCCAGACAGCTGATATGAAAGAAGCGGTGGATTCATGCTCCCGTCAGATGCTTATGAAACGTTTCATCCTTTTCTCTGTCTTCACATTCCTGATTATCTCCACCTTCCTCTGAGAGCCGGTTTATTTATGCCAGAGTAGTGACTGCAGCTGGAGGAGAAGCTGGCGGGCTTTAAAAACAAAGACACACGCTTCACCTCCACTCTTCTCTCCCTTTACTGTGAAACCAGACTTTATACAGCTGAACTGCAGGTTCCTGTGTTGATACCCTTAAATACCCTCAAGCCATATGATCTGGTTTAATTCCAACAATTTCATGGCTTTGTTGCAATTAGGTGAGTTTTCATCCAAACATTGTACAAATCGTATCTAAAATTGAGAATGTGAGTCACTGGTATGTGGATATTAGGAGTTGGTTCATTAAGAAAAACGGATGGTGCTGCTAATTATCCCGTCCAGTGTCGTACGTGGTCATCGTGGTTTTTTCACCGAGAGTAAAAACTGAATATAAACAAGCTTATGAAACTATGGTTCAGAGACATAATATGCTGTTGGAATATTCCTGCTCAGTGCAACATTCACAAGTAACAGATATTTTAGAAGTTAAGAAACAAAGTAAACCATCAAAACTACATTTAAATGGATAAAAAAACAAACTACAGGCATGTCAGTGAAAATATTTTTGAATTTGACTGAATAAAATCCATCTCTCTGCAGCTGCATTCCACTTCACCTTGTTTTTCTCCCTCTATCATCTATATTATTCATTCCAGCTCACATTTGTATTCCACCTGGCACACTGTCCCGCTTCCCTCGCGTCTGCATTTCAAATTCCAACTAAATTGTGAGCCTCTCTCGCTTTCATAACCTCATCAAAAAAAAAAAAAGATTCCCTCATGTGAGAAGAGGTCCATGCAACAGAAAACAATGCCAGCCTTTCTGCCCCTGGCATGAGAGGAGGGAGGGAGGGATAGAGAGAATAAGAGAGAGAGAGAAACAGAGAGATCGAGAGTTCTTTGTGTGAGAGTGAGAGTTGGTGGACGAGCGAGAAAGAGAAGCCGCTGATGTCCCTCCACTCTCCGACACAACTGGACTCCAGCGTGGTGAGAACAAGCAGTCGCTCTCCAACTTTAGTGCATTTAATTTAAAATGAAAAAAAGAACGTCTCGCTGAAACTGAATCTGTCACTTTCAAATAGAGAAAATCAGCAAGCTAGATAACTAGCTCACTTAGCTAACTGTACAGTTGGCTAATGTGGCTAGTTCCAGGTCAAAGTGGAGCAATACAAAGTTTAAATGGCCAAACCAGGTCTCTGAGGGCCGGCCCACACTTTTCCCTACGCCTTCCGAAGTGCAGATTCTCTAAAAACGAAACGATGACATCACAGCTTACTCTGTGATTGCCTACTGCTTTGTTTACATCATCATCTTGGATATGATCATGAAACATGTCAAATAACTGCAGGCAAACACAAGTAATAATTATGATGAGTTACTATTGTTCGAGGTTACTACTGCCATAAGAGAATGAGCTCACTGAGCATGCTCTCTTTATTTGACGTAGACTCTATGGCCACCTACTGGCTTGATTTAATATTTGTAGTCAGGCCTGAGTGCGCTACATACTTGATATTTGGCTTTGATTGCTAGCATCCTCCTTTTTCATAGCACAACAACTTTCTCTTCATGGGCTCAAAGGGATAGTTCACTGAAAAATTTAAATCCCCTTATTATCCACTCACCATTATGCCGATGGGGGGGTGGGGGAAGTGTTTGAGTCCACAAAACACTTTTGGACTTTCAGGAGTAAACTGTGTTGCAGCCAAATTGTCCTTTTTCTGTGAACACGTGATCAGACGTCCTTGGTGGACACAGTGAATGCTCGGTGTCTGGACATATACAGCATCTGCTGACAATTACCGGGACGCAGCAGGCATGTGAGAAGAACTTGTGGTCAAGTACAGAACATAGGGTTGACAAGTGTGGTTGTACTTCCATGTCTGCAGCTATAATGTACATGTACTATATGTAGATATGTACAGTTTTGTGTGGAATTACTTTGGTTTCCTTCGGTGCTCTTAGAAATACTTCATGCAAAAATGTTAAAAACGTCGTATTCATTTCCCTAAGCACAGTAGCTCGAGCTATAAAACCAAACAAATATATTGAAATCATAGTTTCGGTTGCTTCAGTGCATTTTGGATGTGAGAATAACTGTAATGCTAAAAAGCTCTAGAGACAGAACTGTGTGAAGAGTTTTATAAAAGTAAACTCAAAATACCTGGTATTTTTTCATCTGGTTTTGTATTTCCTGTTTAATTTCCCTTAGTACTGCATGTACAGCTAGCATGGCGCTTTAGCACGAAAGCCTGAGTTGTGTATCTAGAGCGGGAAAATACGTTGCCCGAGCATCAGACGTTAATATTGCATACGGGTGAGGGCTCAGTGAAGCATAACCTCTTTATATTGGAACATAAACCTACTGTTTGCATTATAGTCCTGCCTGTTCATCAGTCATGTATCATGGTACATCAGCGCTGTGTATAATACAGAGCTCCGCCTTCCTGCTTCTACATTTTCACCACTTCATTTCCGATCCTTTTATTTTTATCAATCAATATGTATACATACAGTGTACATATACTTCACTTATATATATCTAGTGTTTACTTCTGATAAAATTGCACTACCCGTACTCTTCATCCTTGCACCAGGTCCCCCTGCGGTGAAAATCAAGTTTTTAAACCCTTTAAATGATAAAATACATATTAAACAAATAAAACATAAAACAAATGCCGGTCTAATAAGAACAGATTCAAACAGCCAGGTTCTGTGATGTCACAAACCTAAGAAACCAATCCTGTCAACTTGTGGGCGGGGCTCAGTCGCTGGAAAATACTTTTAACTGCATGTGAGCGGTGAGGGTAGCGAGACAGGAAGCAGGGGCGGGGCCAACATTAGCATATTCAGAGAATCATGTCACAAAATAAGAAAAGGTGTAGAGTTACAGTTAAACCACTTTAAAAGTTCAGTGTGTAGAATTTAGCGACATCTAGTGGTGAAGTGTCATGTTGCAGCTGAACACCCCTCACTTCACCCTCCCGTTCCAAACATGACAGAGAACCTGTGGTAGCTTCAGTTGTCATAAAAACTCAAAAGGTGTTTAGTAAAAAACATGACGGCCTCAATAGAGAGGTACGACTCCTGATTTAAATATTAAGTATTTCAATTTAAAGTTTCTGGGGTAAAGAATTTGTACAATTTAGATGAAACACACAAGTGAAAACATCACTAGGGTTATTTTATATTCAATATTCAATATTATTTTATATATTTAAATCAGTTTCTTCCAGTCGATCCCTTTCACCTAAATCTTCCACACTGGACCTTTAAGGCCAGGGGGAGATTTCTTTTATGACAAACCTTTTGAACATTCCATTTTGAGGAAAACAAAGAAGAGTTAAAGCGGTTGTGTTGTCTCACTCTTTACAAATATGAAAATAAATGAGTCAGGTCATAAGTTTGCGATATGTTGCACACACACGCACACACACACACACACGCACACACACGCTCTGTTATCTAGGACTGTGGTGCTGCCAGTCAGGAATGTAGGTCTGAGTTTCTTGGAGCAAGCAGCAACAGGTCCACCTCCTGAATGGGAGTCTGTGGAGGATCCTGCACCGGTAGCTTGAGACAGAAGCCTTCAGATCATCAGACAAAGAAACAACTTGTGTTGCATGAGGAGAAGCTGCACTGATCAAACTGGGTTGAATTCACTGCGCGGTGTTAAGAGGTGTCCTGCTCAATCAAGTTCATGCTGATAGGATTGTGTCAGTAGCCCGGAGCAGCTCTTCACCATGGAGGCGATGCATTTGCTGGACAACTGGAGGAAGGTAATAGTCGCGTGTAGAGACAACAAAGAACAGGTTAGCATGAAACAGTGAAAGACTGAGTGTTGATTTTCCTCTTCTGGCTCTGGGAAGAGTTTCTTGTGGCAGTGGGAGACTTTTGCAGATGGAATTCTTAAACATTGATTTTTTGTTTTCTGGGTGTTTTTGTGATTTGCTGTTGGAGGCTTGCTTGAGGCTGACTCTGCTGAATATCATTTCACCATCTGTCAGAGGAGCAAATATGATGATACTGCTGCAGTGTTTTGTTATCCTGAGGGCAGACTACATCAGAACCATATTCTCCATCCCTGCTGCACAACATCTTAGGCAAGCAAACGACTGCGGGTACTCTGATTCACTGTGATTGTGATAATTATGTGTTTTTTTTAACCTTTCCCGGTGGTTTTCTGTGTTTCCTCATTACCACAAGATAACGACTGTGAATGACTTCTCACATATATTCACCCTCATTCAGATTCCACCCAACACTTGTACTAATATAGACATGGCATTTATTTATAGCTTCTTGTTCTGAGATGACTTGATGGAAATACCTCAAACTGACTTCGTAAGTAAGGAGGAATTTGTGTGTGTCTGTCTGTGTGTGTGTGTGTTGTGTCAAAGAGAGAGAGAGCAGCCAAGGTGGCTGATTTCCAGTAAATGCGTCAGGAGATTTAAATGCGTGCGTGTGTTTTACTTCCTCAGAGTGTATTGCTAAATTCCTTCTACCATCTGTTGTGTGTGTGTGTGTGTGTATGTATGTGTGTATGTGTGCTGACAGTGTGATATTGGTGGGGGGGGGGGGTATCCCAGTAAATATTAGTCAACTTTCTTAAGCTACAGTGGAAAATTTGTGAGTTTGAGATAATTTAGAAAAACATGTTTAATTCAGATGTAACCAGAAACTGACCATTGTCTTCCAGCACAGATCAAGTCACCCATGACGACACTCGTTACTCATGTTCTGGTTCACATGGATGTTCTCATTTCCTCCCGCAGGATCTTCATGTGTCGCAGGGAGCCGTGGACAGCTCAGAGGACATGGACCGTCTGAACAGGAACATGCCCGAGTGTGGACGGCAAACCCACCAGGTGCTGCAGGTGAGTGCGGTGCTCGTGTGTGTTCTGGCCGGGTTCGGGGCTGTAGGGGGATGGGGAGAGAAGATGCAGAGCGAGAAAACTGAGAGAAGAGGAAAGAGTTCAGAAAGAGTTTTATTGTTCTCGACTTGGCAGCTTTCACAGAAAAACTCTGTCATATAACGTCAGTGTGTCAGTTCTGATGCATGTCACACACACACACACACACACACACACACACACACACACACACACACACACACACACAGTGAGCGCTCTCTTCTTCTGATAACTGGGGCCACTGATGTTAAATGTCACCACTTTGGCAGCTCTGACAGAGTTTTGGCTCTAAAGTCTCCGTGGATGATGAATAACAGAGCGGAGCCAGCAACAGAAGGTCAGGTGGGGCCACGACGCGTCCTGACAGCTTGTGTCAGTTTGTTGTGAAGCAGAGTCAGTAATTAGACAGACCTGCAGATTGGATGACTTGTTTCCCACCTGCTGGCTCAGACAATCCTATCAGGCATTAAGTGTGGGCTGTGTCCCCAGTTTTCATTCGTGCATTTATATCGGACAAGAAGAAAAAAAGAACCGGTTGATTAAACAAAATGAAAAGTATTTTAAACAAAA